AGAAGTGAATTTTTTTGAGTTAGTTAAGACGGTCAGTTTTGTATGTAATTTATAATCTTCATTTTTGTTTTTGTTTTGTTTTTTTGTTTTTTCCAATATTTGTGCTTTTTTCCTATAAGTAAAATAAAATCCTGCCTTCACCTAAATTTCTACTGATAAAGAAATTTCTTTATCTTACTGACTGTTCCCTCTCTCTATCATCATCAATCAACACACACACACAGTACATTTTTCAATTATTTTTCAATTTTATATATATATATATTTTATATATATATATATATATATATATATATATACACACACAAACACAGAATTGAGTACTGGCATGTTAAAACTAACCTTTAGTTCATTTACAAATCTGGACATCTTTTTCTTTAACAAAATACTCAAACTAAATTCACTTTGCCTTGTAATATTGTTTATCAAATTTTGTGGCTGGATTGATTAATTTCTAGCATCTACCAGTTTAAGGAATATGGTTGAACAGTTTAATAACCTGCATCTTTATAGTCACTTTGATATTGAGAATGCATTAACCCAATTCTCTCAATATGAATAAATTTTGATTTTCTTTAACCCAAGCTTCTTACAATACTTGACAGTGGGTAAACATTGGTAAAGTTGGTCTCCTTCCTTTACTATTATTAAAACAAAGGAAAATATTCTGTTAATATTTGGAAAAAGGTTAAGTGCATTTGCACTGAGGCCAAGTGGCATAGTTGGTGACTATTTGGGAAATAAAACTGGTGACCAGAGTTCAAATTCTATTTGTATTTTGTGAGAAATCTTTTATTGTTATATCTGTCCTGTACTAGGTCATCTCAGCTTTATTTTTCTATATCATAAAGGTGACCGATTACACAAGCAAGTTCTAATTCTCTGCCCAGACAAGAGCAACAAATTTTAAATGTTTTCCCAAAAGGAATTATTTAATTTCTTTTTTGTTGTTACTACTTGCTTGATCCACTTATGGATAGCAACAATTATATAACTGTAAAGCACTTTCTTTTTTAGCATTAATTTCTTTGAGTAGTCCTCAAATATGTGCCTATTGTATATCTATATAACTCAGCAGTTTTAAATATTCCACTAAACCAAGGGTTGTGGGTTCAAATATCACTAGAAGAACGGTATATATCACAAATAGACAATTTATGGATGAATCTCAGATGAGATGTTATACAATTATTTTTCAACCTGTCTTATTTATTTTGTCTGAGTTTATATGGATTATACATTTGGATTGTGGATCAATATCCATATGAGATGAGTGTACAGTTTTAATATTGATCAAATTGATAGGAATTGATGATGTTGATTTGTAGCAATTTCTTTGTCAGAGACTGAAACATAATCATTGAAATCCTGATTTTGGACAGACAGTCCCCCCCCTCCCCCGGGCGCTTTTTTTTTTTTTTTTTTTTTTCTGGTATGATTGAACATTTTTTGTTCTTGTCTAGTTACAAAAAAAATTGCCTATAGATTTGAAATAATTGAATTAAGACTACTTTCATTATTATTGTGATATCAGCTCCTGTCATTTCTGTTTGGCTGAAGACTAAGTTGTATAAATGATCAAAAACTGGAAGTTACTGGGAATGGACAAAAATTTATTTCACGTAATCTTTTCTATTTTATCTTACATCTTTACACAATTTTGGTATACCAAATGTATGAGAGGAACTATTTTCAGAATTTATAGGGGGGGGACTGTAATCTCACTTTATAAATTAACTGATTTAATGTTTATTCATTCTTTTTATTGATACAAGTATTTAAGTAAATGCTCTGTTTATAATAAACAGTATTAAACAACATTTACTGGCTTAATGTCCGAGAAATTTTCACAGAAAATATTCATCCTCTGACAAAATATTCATCCTTTTTGCTGTTAGAATAGTCAGTCTAGAAATGTGAAATCTAAAAACCAGAGCTGAAGGCAGAAACCCCAATGTTGCCATTTTCTGCATGCCTTTATTATCCACTGCTTACCTTTTATGCTTTGTCCCAATCATTTTTATCTTTGCTGTTTTTAATGCAATGTTTTGACCACTTTATTTCTGGTCTTCTTCAGGCGTGTGTACCTCTGACAGTTCTTAGGAACAAGAATGCCATATAATAATAATTAATTAATCATTAACTGTTCTTTAACATTTAATTGTTGATTTAGAAAAGTTGTAATAAAAAGCAATAAAGAAAAAAGATGAAGACTAGCTAAGGTTGAATGCCAAGAACACTACACTTTCAAAATGTTGTGAGACCAGATTTTGTACAGCTGGGAGAAATGAGTTTTGTTTTTACCAAGAGACTGGTTTTATATTGAAGTTTTTAGCTGATTCCTGAACTATCAACATTTTGTACTCTTAAATTTCAGTAAATTGGTCTACATTAACTTCTTTTCGTGGGGGTGGGGGCTTATATTTTAACACCCACAAATAATTAAATCTGAGGAAATCCAAGAACATATTGGTTGAAGCATTGTATTGAATGTAAAGTTGCACTGATTAATTGGTTGATAATTAGCAATCATTCTCAAAGATTGTCAAATTATTGAAAAGTATCAGAATGTTATTTAAATTTATTGAGATGACAATATTCATGAATCGGGGAAAAGATTTCTGATGTAGTAAACAAGGATGAACATTTATAAAAAAGAAAAACAATTAATTGGTGCAACACTGGTTAAAAGTAAAATTGTTTTCATTAATCCATACATTTTTTTTTTTTTTTTTTTTTTTTTTATGAGTATCTTTGTTGCTTTTAATACATTTGAGAAAAATGGTTACTTTATTAAAGTAATTGAAAAATGTCAAAAATTGTTTTTCATACTTGACTATGAACTTTGTTCTGATGTTGAGGATTTAAATAATTCAAAAGGAGCAGAACCTGTTCTTGCCCTTCAAAAATACAAATGATATCATCTCTATACCTGCGATAAGTTATAGGCTATAAGACATCATACTAATCTAATCAAACTTTGTTGTATATATAAATTACCAAGAACTGAGGCTAAAAGAGACCAAATCTCCATATTTTGAGACCTGTTCCCTTTGTCAGCCAAAAATTTAAATTGATTTATTTTTTTACATTCAAATATAAAACTTCAATCAATTTCAATTTTTGGCTGATAAAGGGAATAGATTCTGAAACAAGGATGGCGATCTCTTTTTTGATCTTGGTTCTTGCTAATTTATTCATGGGGTATAATGAAGAAATTTGGTTAGATAAATTTTATGTTCCATTGCCTATACTTTATTACAGGTAATTGAGATGATACCATTGTCTTTTTTAGATAATCTAATCACTAAAAATGACGAATCATTTTTCTCTCATTTCAGTTTTTTTTTTTAAACTTTTCATAAAACTGACCTCAGTTGCAGCATTTTGGCTTTTACTTGCTTTAAAAATGTAGCTTCCCTCCTCCTCAATTAAAAACCTTTTGCTTAATTTATAAATTTCACAATTAACTAATCGAACAGTTATGTGCCATGCGTGATACACACTTAGGCAATCATGTATCTTTCGATACATGACTGATGAGGCAGATTTTTTTCTCCACAGTAGGTTGCCATTTCTTTCTGCAATAGACCAGTTGCCATCCAAGACTATAGAACCTGGTCTGTCCTGCTATTTACCCATAGCTGGCAAAGAAGAAAAGGATTCATACCTTTCCCAAGGGTATTAGCACGTAAGTGAATGTAATGGATGTGACTAGACTTTGAACTCGGCTCTCCAATTCCTCAATCCGAGCCACTATCCATTACTCTACCATGCTTTCCCATTACTCCAACTAATATATTCCTTTACTCGGTATATAATTGCTAATTAAAGATACCGAGTATGACACAAGGGATAGTAATGAAGCACCCAGTAAGGATCAAACTCATTACACATAAGTTGGCCTGCAAAACCAATAGCTGATCTAATTGTATAATTGTACCAGATTAATTGCTAGTTTGGCAGAAGGTTACACTAGTAGAGCACTCATTGATTACTCATTACACTAAGTCTGCTAGATTAATGATTGCTCTTAACTGTAATACTCAGTTATTAAATTCAACTTAGTGTAATACAAGGACACAGTAGTGAGGTACTAACTCATTACATGACTGAATTGATCTGTGAGACCATCTGCTAACCATTGCACTATGGTAAGTGCATTGTAGTAATTTTCTAAGTTTGGTTTAGTCTAGCACAAAGAACCCAGTATTTGGGTACCTATTGAGGATTAAATTTACTGTCTTAATGCATTAGTCTGTTAAATGAGCTTGTTGAATATTGTGCTATGGTATGCCTATATACTAACTGTATTTTAGATATTATAAAGAACTGAAAATTTAATTACTAATTATAATATGTAATTAATTTTATACATATTTAAGTGGCCTAGAAAAATATATTTTTAAGGTAATTAAAATACTTTGAAAGAAATCTATAATTTTTTATTTTTTGGTTGGGGCAATTTTTTTTTTTTTTTTTTTTTTTTTTTCTATAATTCATGGGTGGGACAGTGATGTTTATACTGAAGTGAATTTTGGCAAATTTTTTCATTTGAAAGGAAAATCAAAGGAAATGATTTTATTTTTGTTTCTCTTTCTTTTTTTTTTTTTTATTAGTAAAGGAAAAGAATTGTATATTTAGTTCATGGGCCTAAACTCACTATCTTTAGTTAATGAAGGGTGAGGAGGCTGCAGATAATTATAATAATTTACTTAATACACTTTAGATACAATTTTTTATTTATTCTTTTTGAACAAAGATAAAAGATTGCCAATCTGCTGATTTATAAGTGAGACAATTCTTGACTAAGAGAACACCTGACCAGGTTGTTGTTTGTTGTTCAATACCTGTGATATAAATACCTTCTGTGGTATTTATCTCCTGGCCTTGTATTGAGTACTTAAGACGGTCTGCTCAGATGTAATCTGTCATAATATGTAAGTAAAAACTACAAAATGCTTTCCGCCTACATTATTACTCATCCACTTTACTTGTAGGTCAATCAGGTCAGCTGATCCTAAGGCCCAGGTGCTTGTTGTTGGCGAAGAGTCCTACGTCCCCTATATGCGCCCTCCACTTTCAAAAGAGCTTTGGTTCAGTGAAGATGAGTCAACTGTTGAAACCCTCAAATTCAAACAATGGAATGGAAAAGAAAGAAGCATTTTCTTTGAGCCGGAAGCTTTCTATGTGGAACCGAAAAAGCTGCCATTTCAGGAGAATGGAGGAGTCTCTGTGTTAACCGGACACAGAGTTGTAAAAATAGACCCGAAGAAGCGGCAAGCATATCTTGATAATGGCAGCATCATAACATATGATAAGTGCCTATTGGCCACGGGGGGCACCCCCAAAAACCTGCCAAACATCTCTTCTGCAGGTGAAGAAGTGGGAAAGCATACGACTTTGTTTCGAAACATCGATGATTATCGCAGCTTGGAAAAATCTTTGGGTGGTGCTAAATCAGTTGCTATCGTTGGTGGGGGTTTCTTGGGCAGTGAACTGGCATGTGCCCTGGGTAAAAGATCCAAGAATTCTGACTTGGAGGTGTTTCAAGTATTTCCAGAATCTGGGAATATGGGTAAAGTATTACCAGAATATCTTAGCACTTGGACCACCAACAAAGTGCAAAGTGAAGGGGTCACAGTTCTTCCAAAACGGGTTGTGAAAACTGCCTCAATGAAAGGTGATAAAGTGTCGTTAACTTTTGAGGATGAAAGCACACTAGATGTTGATCATTTAATTGTTGCTGTGGGTATTAAGCCAAACACAGAACTAGCAAAAACTTCCAGCCTTGAGATTGATGAGAAATATGGAGGTTTCTTAGTAAATGCTGAACTCGAGGCCAGGTCCAACATTTGGGTAGCTGGAGATGCAGCTTGTTTTTATGATATTAAACTTGGTCGTCGTCGGGTGGAACACCACGATCATGCTGTGGTAAGTGGTCGTTTAGCTGGGCAGAATATGACAGGGGCTGGCAAAGCATATTGGCATCAGTCAATGTTTTGGTCAGACTTGGGTCCCAGTGTGGGTTATGAAGCCATAGGTATAGTTGATTCCAAATTGCCTACAGTTGGGGTATTTGCTAAGGCAACTGCCAAAGATACTCCCCAAGCAGTTGTTGAAGAGACTGGTGAAGGACTCAGATCAGAAACAGAATCTAGTGCTCAACCATCTATGGTTCCTGGAGAATTACCAAAAGTAGTATCAGAAGACGATTATGGTAAAGGGGTTATATTCTATCTTAGAGATAATATTGTGGTCGGTATTCTTCTATGGAATGTTTTTAATAAAATGCCAATTGCTCGCAAAATCCTTAAGGATGGCGCCGAGAGTGAAGATCTGCATGAAGTTGCCAAATTATTTAAGATTCATGAAACGTGAGGATTACCTGATTTAGGTTAACTTTTTTTTTTTTTTTTTTTTCCTAGAGTTTGTTGTTTTTTTGCTTGAATTTTTGAAATGAGGAATTCTCATTATTATACACTGATTTACTCAGACTAGTGTCCTCATGTTAGTTGTTTTAGTCAAAGTGGCTTGGTTCAAAATTCTAGGAAGGTTGCCACCTAGACAAAACTGAAGAATACAATGACTAAACTATTGTGACTTTAACAACCAAGATGACTGTAGTAAATCTGTATATTTTTTCCTTTTTTTTTTATGTATAGATAAAAATATTTAACCAGCATATTAATCAACATCTCTGGAATTGTGTGAATTGGTGAAATTGCTGTTCATTTCAAAAGATTTTCCTCTCGATTGGCCAAATAAGCTAAAATCCTTAAAAAAAAAAAAAATTTTCAGAAAAAAGACTGAGAAATTATTTTATTCTGGTTTCAACACTTGGTCCATGTTGGTACTAAACATTCTATGCTTTCTGTCAAGAGTGGTGCTAGCAAGCAGCAAGACCTCTTGGAGATTCCCATAATTCTCTCTATCATATATATATATATATATATATATATATATATATAAAAATGTGTGTGTGTCTGTCTTGTATGTTTTGAAGACCTGGTAGAATAAATGAATCTCTGAAACAGACTAATAGTAAAGGGGTGGGAGGGATACATTTAAAAAACAAAAAACTTAAGAATGAAGAAAAGCAATATAACTGTGACACACTTTGTTTTTTTTTTTTTTTTTTTTTTTTTTTTTTTTTAAATAAAATTTAAAAATGTCACCATTTTCATCAGTTTTTCAAAATTGTAATATTTTCATTGCTTTGAATTGGGACTTTTTCCCCCTTTCATAATTCTCAGGCAAAAATGTACAAAGTTTCTTCAAATTTTCTTGTAACAGATCAGCCACTTTTCTCTACTTACTAAAAACATTAAAATCAAGACAAACCTGATCACCTAAGTGGCTTTTTGTTCATCTATCCTTCCATCATCAACATGAATGAAAATAGTTTTGTATTTTTTCAATATCCATCAGTGAAGATTGATTACTGCTTTGTTACTGCTTGTATCATTTTGTCATGTTATTTGGAATTAAAAAAACAAAAAACTTTATTTTCTACTTTCAAATTCTCAAACAAAACAAAATATATTGTTGCTGATTTCAATCCAGCCCAATCTTGTATCATTGACCTCGAGAGTCTGCGTCAATGGCCAATAATTGAATAAAATTAAAAAAAAAGAAAAAATAATTAACATTTGCTTGTTTGTTTCATGTCATTATTAAAAAAAAACAATTGGATCCAAAACATCTGTTCACTTCTATTTTTGCACCTTTTTAAAAATTCTATCCAAGTGTAACAAGTGTTATGTGACGTGTATCTAACTACAGTGCAAAATTGGAATGTTTCCTGTTATCAGGTGTGGTCCTTTTTGAATTCCCATAGAAATTGGAGAACTTTTCAGCATATCTTTGTGTGTGTACAGGTGTATATACACACACTGAAAGACCATGTTAATTTTGACCTGAATACAGTATATACATATTAGAGGGGGAGAAAATATTCAATGTATTCCATGGCCATCTTGTGATATATACCCTTGTGCAAATTAATTGAAACAAAACAATTCTGTTATTTACTTTTTTGTATTTTCCAATGAAACCTGAACTAGTGCACATGTTAGTACTTCATATGTCCATTCCACAAAGTTGTAGATTGACTATGGATTCTTGATTGGTTATAAATCGGGAGAGTTTGTGGTCCAGTCTATAGTACTTTGATTTGCTCACTGGTAAGGCTTGCCAGCATATTTGTGCATCATTGGCGTAACATCCATTGCAGACAATGGCCATAAGGCATCTAGTTGACAGTAGTGTCAGATGATGCAATATTCTTCAAGGCTAATCAAATTTCATATGCCCTGAAAATAGATTCATGTTACTGCACATCACTGCAAATGGCCTAATCTGAGGAAAAAATAGAAATTGATAACACATTGTCTCTACAGTGGGTATAAAACTAACCATATGGTGAAAGAAAGGAAACTAAAGCAGTTGTTTCAATTAATTTGCACAAGGGTGTAGTAACACTCATAAAAGTTCAGTGTGTGTGAGAGAGAGCTTTAGGCAATGTGAGATGCTGTGATAAGTTCCAGTGTGGTGAAACATTCCAGTGTGGTGAAACATTCCAGTGTAAGCAGGTCTCATGTCAAAGAGGTACAAATATACTCCTTTTGTTTAATTAGTCATGTGAAAGAGTCAGGTTTTAGGCTTTCATGATGATGGATGCTTATTTTGGAAAATTGCTGCACATGTTGAATGTGTTAATGTTAGTAGCATTGCTCAAGTGAACATTTCCTCTATGCATAGACCAGATCCTGGATGGCCACATAATTCAGAGACCTAATAGGATTTGTGAATTGTAAATGCAGTGGTAACCTGTATGGCATCTACAACACTGACATAAATGCTACTCTTGGAATGCAAATATGGATCCTTGGAAACCATTTACTTGCAGCAGCACAATAGGCTCACATGCCTCGAACCAGACTTTTACTTTAGCTGCAACACCTTTGTGTGCATTTTCACTGGTCTTGCTATACCATCACTTTAGGTATTGTATGAAACACTCCTCAGTAATAAGAACAGGTTCTACCTTCAGGCAAATAATGGTTGTTTGTGTGAGATGTAGACTAGGACAGTGATATCTTCCAGAGTCTACCTATGACAACTAGCATCATGATGCGAGGTACAAAGCTACAATAGATGCTTGTGGAAGCAACATTGAACAGTGCCATATATGTTCAGAACATTTTTCTGCCACTGTTCCTGTTTCAACAGAATAATGGTAGTGGCAGTTTCCTTATAAGGAAACCTTCAACATTTATTGACTGAACAGCCAATGCTGTTGTCAGTTGAAATTTATAAAATCCTTCTCTTAAAACAATTTTTCAGAAAAATAGGTTTCTCAGGCCAACTAGCTGTTATCACTCTTTCCAATATTGACGAGGGTTTCCTTCCTAGCCTTTTGTTTGAAGTAGTGGAATGTCATCTTGATTGTTATCATTCTCTTTCGTGTTGCATGTACTATCCATTTTAGTTGTTGCTGCTGTTGAAACTCCTCAAATGATGGGCTTTCTGTTATTTGGTACAGTTCTTTGTGATTTTTTTTTTTTTTTTTAGCACCATTCCATGAAGTTCAAAAAGGGATGGTCCTCACTGAGATCTACAGGCTTCACCTGCTCAAAGCCATTTTTAACGATCTGAGAAAGCAGTTGTATACAGCCGACAAATTAAATATTTCTGAACAAGTTTAGTGGCATGCATAACATCCATATGAAAGTCTTGATCTGATGAAATGTCCGTGATATTCAGTATTGCAAGGTTTTTGACAACTTCTCATGATAACCAGACCAGTATCCCATTGAACATGTATGGGACATGATGGCACAATGCCGGACGCCTTCAGTTAGCCCACCTACAATTCTTGTTGTATTATGTCAACAGGTGTGAGAGGCATGGAATAATGTTTCACAGGATGGTATATTGTGTGTACAAATCTGAGTTAATGCCCAAGGAAGAAATACAGTGTATTAATGAGTTTACTTTCATGTAAATGGCCTTGTGAAAGACATGAATCTTTTTCCCTACACCTCTGGTTTTAATTAGCAAGGTTGAGTGGAGTTTCTAAACTTGGCTGGACTGCTTTTAGTCCAGCTAGCTGTACCGCAACATGTGCAGTTTTCCTGACATGATTTGAATATGCTTCTACTGCAACAAGTTAGTGACAAACTGATTTGAATGATGCTAATACTGAAAACAAACAAACGCACACATGCACACGCTACTAAGCACTGTATTGCCATTCTTCAAGACTAGGAGCCAGGAAAGAGAAAATAGCGACAGAATCTGGTACACCAATTTCTCTACCAACCAGACTACATAAACACAAAAATTAATACTTACTACAAATTTGTGATAAACGCAATATAAAGCATGAAATCATAGATTGCAAATCACAAACCCAACACAAGTCGCAAAAACATTTACTTCAAGACAAAGCAACATGTTGGCAAAATGGACACCAAATCGGCAAACTTTCTTGGAAGATTAAAATGTTTCCAACCCCCAACTCCACAAAAAAAAACCCAGAGATACTACTAGTACTACTACTACTACTACTAAACTCTTTTGGCTGGGGTCTGCAATCAAGTGCTGCTCTCTCCCTACTGCCATGACTTAACCCTCTCAGCATGCGGCAGAAGTAACACCAACCTGAATGTTGTCCCATGCATGGGTATAGCTTTTCCCTTAGTGACTGTGTATTTTTTGTTTTGTTTTTTTACACACACACACTTTCCAATTTTTAATGTCTTTCTTCCACATGCATACTAGTGTATTTTCTCCCTTTTGTTACTCTGTTATATAAAGACATAAAATATCACCTCATTGAATTTTATTCCATTTCCATGCACCTCCACTAACAATGAAAACCTGTCATTTACATGTGTATATTTTGTTTGCCACTGATTTTAGCCCAAATAGAAGCAGTACCTCTAATACATGTATTCACTGTGTTGCAGTTTTATTTTGTTGTATATTTGCTTAAGTTGTTGTTTTTTGTTTTCGTGTTTTTTTTGTTTTTTTTTGGTGGGGTATTCCTTAGTGATATTTCAGAGCAACTAATAAAAGACAATGTTTTTATTTATTTTTAAAATTTTTAATGTCCAACTGGCATTTCTACTTCTAAAACACAAAACATTTTGATCTTTAATTATAGCTTCTGTTTTTCAAAGAATCAATTAATTCACTACAGTTGAAAATACTAACTCTCGATATAAGAGACATTTGGAGGGGAGACATATTCTGTTCTTTTTTTCGTATAAAGAGAGTTTTTATTGCATGTTGTTTTGCCTATTTGAATTATTCATAAGATTTTTTATTTTGTAGATGGTTTTAGAAGAAACTGGATTTAAAAACAAAAAAAA